ACACACACACACACACACACACACACACACACACACACACACACACACACACACACACACAGGCCACTGGATGAAAATGTGTCAGTTCAGGGTGAAAAATAAATCAATGTTCAAGCTCATCAGTTTTCCATCTGTTGTGTCCTACTTCACAATTGTTAGCCGTTGAAATTTGTCCGGCTGCTTTTAGGTAATAATCATGTGTGACGATGCTTCGAGCTTCACAGAGGAAGCTTCGGAATAAAAGGTTTGATTTTCCTTGTCTACACACATGGAGGAATAATTCACTCTGCGCCACAAATGATAGTTACATCAGATGCGGTTGTTTTTGTCTCAACATACTGGTTGTGAAAATAACCAGGATGTTTTTGAGACATTTTTAAGTGCAGTCTGACCATTATGGACTTTTTGGGGTAAAAACTTACCACTTCGATGTTATTGGTCAGTGAAAGGCTGATATCGACCAAGGTTTTATCAGCCAACAAGAAACTCTACTGTAGAAAACACCAAATAATCATTTGCCTCCTAAATTGTTTCTTTTGGCCGTTCTGGTTCACGCGTACATATTGGGTATTAGTGTTCTGTAGTATTGTGAATTCATTTTCAAAGAGGAAACAACGCAAAGTTGAAATTTAAAGTTGAAATATCTTTTTCTGTTATCAAATTCTTTTGTCAAACATTGCGGTGAAAATCTGATATCACAACAGGATGACTGATGAAGAAATGTAATTTTGTGAAGACGACCAGGTGATGAAACAGATAAAGATCTTATATCTCCTTCAGGCTGTGAATTATTTAAAAATAAATAATGTGAAGATGAGCAACAGGTAGAACTCGAGGCGGCACAATGCTCACTCGCTCTCTAAATAACACAACGTGGAATATTTATGTGTTGAGCCAAACGTTGCAAACTGAGCACACTGTAAATATTTTCATACTGTAGCTCTGCAAACTGTAAAACAGCCCGAGGCCTTTAAAATAGAATAGCAACGATGAGTGTAAAGGCTGGAGAAAATGAAAAGTGGTCATTATGGCACCGCTCACATCGCAGCCATTTAAAAACCAATGGGTTCAGACACTTTATCTGGTAACTGTTAAGGGCGGGAGCGTGGTGGACCAAAGACAAAAAACTGCAACAAGCCTTTGATTAAAAGACACAGTCCCGCCACTCTCTGATGTGACAAGACAATGGGCAATGAATATTTTATAAGTCGTCCATCTGGAAACCAATAAAGCTGAGCCACAGTAATGATGGTCCATCTTTGCTCTCTTCCACTCTCCCTGGGTGCTTCCACCAGTCTTACTCAGTGAGAAATTAGCTCACCATGTTACTTGATGGAATTCCTCACCACAAAGTGCTGCATTATGAAGCACATTAATCTGAAAATTGAATTATGTCCCGCTACCGGCTTTTACCCTCGTACACCACAGCACGTTTCATAAAACAAGAACCCGTCCCAGAACAAAGACGTGAGCACAACCGACACTGACCGCTGACAATAATGCAATCAGTATTTTACCTCTTGAGACTGTCTGTGTGCAGATTCTTGACTCCAGCGTTTCGAGCTTCACTGATGAGCAGCCAATCAAACTGTGCTTCTCAGAACTGCTGAGTGGATTGACTTTATCCCTGACCACATCATATTAACATGCGGGGGCTGAATAAAGATATTAAAGGAGACACATAGATAGTTGTTGAAATGCCCCTTTGATAATTTGGCCGATACTTCACCATGTGACATTTTTATATGTATATATGCTTTGTTGACATAAATTGCCAGATGAGGGTGTGACTGGTATTGTGTGTTTTGTGGAAAAAGCAATTGAGCAATACCGTCTGTTAGCTTTGACGTTCTCCAGTCCACTCATCTCTGAACCTTGAACCAAACCTTGGGATTAAAACACAGCACAGTGGGGCTGCTGCTGCTGCTGCTGCCGGTGTGAATCGCAGCCTCACAAAGCTGGATCACAAATTCAAACATGAATTAAATGAAATTCCACTTGTGCAAGTAAGTATCATCAGTTCTACACAATTTCAAATGGATTTTTTTGGGTCTTGTAGCGTTGGGGAGACGAAGGAGCCGCAGGCAAACATTCAGCGGCAGGTTAATACCTCCAGGAAACCCAGGCTTTTATGGTTTCTCTCTTTTCTCATCTCTTACCTGCTTTTTGCGTTTGTAGAATTCTGTCATATACCCCCTCAGAGGTCTCCAGGAGAGCCCGGCTGGTTTGGATCACCTGAAAGCAGACAAACATATTGGTCACATTTGCATTCATTTTCCACATCAGCAAAGGTGGCGTTCCACAACAAAGCAGGGAGCAGTCTCGGTCTGCTGGCCGGCTGTTTCTATCCAGGGAGGGCTCTGAAAAACAAGCTGTTATTAAACGCGCACTTGTGGGCAAGGTCGCTTAATTGCATTTTTGAAAGCCAGAATTAGAGGGAAGGAGACACAAGCAATTAGGATGTTAACCTTTTCTTGCCAAATAGGAAGTGTCCTATCTTCAGGAGAAAAATAAGAAGTCAGTCCTGGTGCTTGTTTTGCAAAGCTTCTGTGCAGATTATCAAAGTTGTTTGATTATGATGGTGAGTAAAACGTTGAACCTAAGAGGCACAAAGCCTTATGAGCCACAACACTGCTGTGTTATCTGCGAAACAGCAGCTGTGAACGATGCTAAGTTTAGCTCCTCTGGTGTTATGTTCGGCCTTAATTGAGTGCACAATCTCCTCTGACTTGCAAACTGTTAAAACTCTCATGGTGGCCGTTAGAGCAGACTCAAAGGCTTCGGCAATCCATTTATTATATCCAGACACCGCATCCTCCCACGCTGCGCCCAAAAAAAACCCACTCTGGTTTTTCAGTGGCGTTTCAGGAGGTTAATGATGCATGTGTAGCCTTTCACAGACAGGTGAAAAAGCCTGGAGTGAACACGGTGCAAACCATCTGGATCTTTCTCCCGGAGCTTAATTGTCTCATCTGAAGGAGATGATATTCAGTTAATGCATGTTTGGCATCCGGGCCTTTTTGTGTTTGCAGCGTTGTTGTAATTGACATGTACATTTACTCGTAAGTGCCTTAAGTGCACTGCAAGGTTGTGCCACGCAGCCAAGGCCGCCCAGCTCAGCTTCCAAGAGGAAAAGGAAAAACTAAATTTTTACTTCAGCTCGGTGTAACAAAGCCGACGTGTGAAAAAGAGCAGTGGTCTACATTGTGCCCGTGAGATCGATCGGAGCACGCCAGCTCTGTGGCTGACCACCAGGAAAAGAACGAGTAGCGAGTGGTGTCGAAGGAAGTGTGGAGGGCAAAAGAGAAAATGGAAACTTTGTTTACTAACAAAAGTGAAAGAGTTAGTAACGTCTTCATATTACTTGAGTAGAGAAGATGAGTTTTACTAAAGGATAAGTGCTGAGGATTTATTTGGGCTGGATAATAAAACCATTATCACAATATAATTTACATGAATAGTAATATAAATTGACTTATAATTTGATTTATTGTGATAATTACTACCTGTAGGTTTGAGGCTCGTTCACGAGGATGATTGATTTTGTTCTTTACATTAAATCTGTGGACAATAAGAAAAATGTAGAATTATCCCTTAGGAGCTATTGTGGAAGGATGATAATTTAAATGTCCTCTCATAAATTCCACTGAATACTTTGTCATGACATGAAAAGGTGAAAACATTTTCTAGAGACAACATAAACATCCCGTCTGTTCTTTCTCAAAAGGGACGATGACATAAGAGTCCATCCCCTCATGTCGTGTGCTTCACGGGGGGGACAGACACAGTCTCACAAACCCATGAGGTGAATCACCATGTTATGCTACAAGCGCTCATGACTAAGTGATTGTGGCTGTTGGTGCCACTCTGCAGCTGCAGTGGGGGCACTTTGAGCTGTCGCACATGCTGTGATTACTTCCCTGATGGGCGAAGAAATTACGGCCCTGGTGGCAGACGAAGCATCTCATTTAGAAGGCACAATCTAACGTAGGTGGGTGGACTGTGCCCCATTTTCACACTAAAGACTACCTACTGTAAATGCTAGTATGTTAAGTTGTATTATTATCGTTACTAGCAGCATTGAAGGAAAAGCACCAGGATGTTCATTTATTTTTAAGACGATGAGTAATTCCATTCTGCATTGGACCATTAAAAACTATAAGAATGCATTATTTAACACTACAGACTGTAGCTATGTGCTGGGAATGTGCAGATGAATAATAGTACAACGCAGAACTGAGACACATCCACAGTTTTTCAGATGTTTTCAAACACCACTGGAAAAAATAAATATGGATTATTGCCATGTGAAGAAATGACTCACACATGGGTTTCATTATCTCCATGGATCAGCATCTCAGAGATGTCATATTTTCTCCATCTATCAACTGTGGCCTCAGTTCCTCTGCTGTGAACAAACACAGAAATCGGACCCTATTATCGAAGACCATAACTGTCATCGTGCTAAATCTCTCTTTTCCTGCACATAAGTGGCCGGGAACCGAGACCCAGATTCTATTTTTGCCAATTAGGAAGTTTAAGCCTCGTTACTCCCAGGGGTGGATTTTGACACAGTGCCTGGATTTCTGATTTTATTGTCCCATACATTATTTACAACTCTTTAAGTTTTCCTCCCCTCATTTCATTTGTGCCTCTGTGGTTGTCAGCTCCCCGTCTCTTCTGGCACTCTGCTGATGATCAAGGCCTGCAGCCTCACACCACTTAAGCCCTTGCTCTTAATTTATTCGACTTTGGTCCCAGAACACCCGTCATTTTCTCCTTTCTTCCACCTCCAACTAAATTTTCCAGCTACTCTTTCCATCAGGGCCAATTACCGAGCCCTCCACTCCTGAGTCTGAACTGAGCAGAGGGGTCACCTTAATTTGTCTGCGTCTTGAGTCTTTTCAGCATCTTCCCCCTTTTCTGATGCTCATCTCTGAGGGGGATGAAGAGTGTTATAAAAATAACTCTGCTGGGTGTAGATAGAAATTCATTGTGTTTCTGTTGCCCCTTCTCATACAATTTCTACATCTGGAGTTTATTAAACTATTTAAATAACACATGTATGTGTCAGTCCATTGCAAATGTGTAAAACTAAATAATTTATATAATGTGTCCTCATTGATACCAACTGCATAGTAAATGTCTGACACAAAAAAAACAACACTGAGTGAATATACTACTTTGTTATTCCAGGAAATAGTCTGGAAACATAATGCTGCAACCAACAGGATGTAAATATCTGATAAAGAATGAATCACTGGGTGTACGTCCTTCACTTGTGGCTCCACTTTGTCGGTGGATTTCAGCCTTTTGCTTGAAACGCTGCTTGACTTGCTCACAGTGAGAATCAGGGTCAGAGAACAGGATGTGTTGAGGATAATGGCATTGTCTGGGAATAGCATCAATGGCATGTTGCATAACTTGCGAATATTGACTTTATTACTTAACTCAGCTCTGGCCCCGTTACCTAACTGTCACCGGGTGCCCCCATTAAGACCAGTGAAGCTAAGGTATCGATTTAACTGGAGAAGCTAGTTTGGTAGGATTGGATTTTATTCCGACTGACCAGTGGTTCTTTTACTCTTCCAAGAGTCGTTACTCTGCCGACGGAGAGACAAACTCCTGACGGCCACTTACCATGTCATAGGTGGTGACGACTTTCTTAAGGACCTCTGGCAACAGGCCTTGGGGTTCCAATTCAGGGTACTGGTCAGTGAGGTTGAACAGCAGAAGGGGATTGATGTCGGGTCCAGCCAATCGAGGGGACAAGGCCAGAATGCACTGCTTCAGGTTAGCCACAGCTGAAAGGCCACACAGCTCTTTAAAGGACACTATGGCATTCTGCAGAGAGACGAGAGAAGTTAGAGCTGGGCCTGCATGTAGTTATACTGGTTTATACTCACATGCCAATAAAAACAAATGTCTGATGCCATAACCATCAGTTACAGTCTGAAGAGGGTGTAACTTAATATTCCATGTTACTTATGTCTGGCATCGATCTAAATAAAACATATAATCATTATCCCAAAGAGTAAGACGCTGTCAGAGGAAGTGACCGCAAGTTCACTAATTACCTGTGAGAAGTTTCATTTTTGTTCGCCACTCAAACACTCAAACCAACTGGACCAGTGTCACAAGGAAATGGAAAACACACAGACACACACACACACACACAAATCCTAACCTTCCTGTGAAAGGCCAAATTTAAACCCAACACAAACAACCGAAGGGACAAACTGTGGCAGGACGGCCGGGATGTGTTATATTCTCAAGGCCAGTGGCTTATTATCACACAATGACTGCAATATAAACAAGCAACCAAAAATAAATCCCAATACAATGCCTGGAGAGACACAACATGAGACCAACCACAGAGTGTTGTGAGACTCCTGTAAAGTATTTCTCATAAAATCTTGCACGGACCAAACTTGTTCCATGTCAGAGAAAGGACGTTCCCGGTGACACTGGGTTTGTGTGGATTAGGGTGTTGTGGTTAAAGCTAAAGGACATTTTCATCATCTGCACTTTAACATGATTATTCTTGACCTCTTCCGTTCTGCTGTAACTGTTTCCAATTTAAACTGTAGAAGTTATTGAAATCTATTACATTCCATTAAAACATCATGATGCAACTTGTCTGAATATGTTTCGAGTGTTGCACAACACATGACGTTTGAATTGAATCTTATTCAGTCAAGCGTGTTGGCTGTGTTTCTTTCGAAGGAGGAAGCCTTTTTCTTTTTTTTTTTTTTTAAAGCTCAAAATACTTTGTGGCAAATACGGTTATAATCTTACTTCTTCTATTCTTTAGGAGAAAAACATTCTCACGCAAGAAGATATGGGGGGGGGGGGGTCAGTTCATAAAGGTGTATCAATGGTGAGAACATATATGAAGTTAATTTCTTACCTGCATGTTTTCTCTGAGGTCTGTTGCCTCCCTAAGTGGCAGAATGGCTGTTTTGAAGACATCATCCACAGCCTTGATCAATAGCACTCTCATGCTGGCATACTCTCTACTCCTCTTGCCCTTTCGTACAGACAGTCCCCTTTTGTGTGGTTTACCGCCTCCTCTTCGATTAGTTATGGCCACATGAACAAACAACAAGGTGTGTGGCAGAACTTCCCCCGTCAGAGACTGTAGCGGTATATGGCGGAAACCTGGCTGGAGACACTCAAAAGGTATTGTATATTGGCCGATGAATTCATCCCCGATGTAGTCGTCATCTAGCACCACGAAGCGCACCATTGCCAGCTCTGGGAGGTTTATCTGAAACTCAAAGCTCTCGTCGAACAGAGGGTTGTCCCCATTCTGGTTGACTGTTTTAGTCCTTTGCTCAGCACAGTCAGCAGGGATGCCATGTATTTCCACATAAACGTAGGGGTCTACTACGTCTCCTTTGGCACCGGAGCCTTTGGGTTTAGGGAAGTTTTGTCCACTGATGATCTTGATGTGCAAGAGCTGTGGAGAAACACCAGGTACAGAATCTTTAGTGTTGGCACTAAAATATGACACCTGCTCCCTCATGATCGCTGGACGCAGCACGTAGCCGCAGTTCCCATTCTGACGGAACCAGCCAATGTTTAAATCCATCATCAGGCCCGGAGTCTGGTAGTTCATTGCCACAATCTGGCAACCACACTTCCAGAAATCTTGTGGATTCATGTTGCTGGAGTCGATCCGCATGGGGCTGGGGTACACCCGTGCCAGGAACTTCTTGTTATAGTTGACAAAGTCACCAGGGAAGTCACTTGCATGGCGACTAGCAAAGACCTCATTGAAAGAGCAGAGCTCCCAGTGCTTCTGACTCTGGAAGGACGTCGGGAAGTCTCTGAACTCCACAGACTTACACAAGGTCACCAGGTCAGAGAGGTCCTTAGACAGCTGGAATTTCTTGGGTGCGATCGTCTGTTGTTCCGCAGACTCAATGCTCATCCTTTGAGACATCTCCGCCCCCTCGTCCTCATCCGTCACCTCACCTTCTGAAGCAGTGCAGTTCGTACTCAGTTTCTTCCCCTTCAGCAGGATCTTTCCCTTCAGTTCAGAGGGAGAAGGGAGGTAACAGTCCTCGGGTTTTGGAGGATCCAATATGATCTTGTCTCCCAGGATCTTCTTCAGGTGCTGAAACATGACTCTCTGTTGCTTTAAGGAGCAGTGGTTTTCTAAACACAACATCAGTGGAAACTCAGATGCAACGAAGGCATACTTGTTGATGACGTCAATGACGCTGCGAAAAACTATCTGCGACGTCATTGTGTGGCCGGTGTAAATAACGGGCTCATTATCAGGCCCATCCCATACGTCCAGCTCTACGCTGCGGCAGCCCATCTTTAGAGCGCGGATGTACCCCGTCACATCTGAGGGACCTCTGAACTGATCTTCTATCAGGTATGTGTTGTGGGATGCATTGATGTAATAGTGGGACAGGGGCTGGTTCATGTCCTGGCACACAGTTTTCTGTTCCGGGTCGAATATATGGCACTCTGGCGACATAACATAGTTGGTGAAGCCATCGAGAGAGAGCCAGCCCTTGAGCTGACCCTCTTTAGATGGTTCATATTTCTGAATCACCTCCAAGCTGATGTCTTCACTTACTTGAGCCATACCCTGCTCTGCCTCTAGAAATATCATCAAGTCCTTGGTATCCAGAAATTCTTTGTTGCTGGAGAACTGAACAAAGAGAAAATAAATTTCTGGTCTGGTGCAAAGATCATGAAAGACCTCGATGAACTCGTCTTTTGTCACATCAGAGCCTGGTTTGTCTTTAGCTTTCTGAAGTTCCTTAAACTTCAGTTCTATTTTGACATTTTTAAGTCCTGGGTTCAGCTTTTTGACGAGCTGCACAGCGGTACATATTGTGATTTGTTTGCTGTTGTTACGGTCAGCCTCATCAAAAAGTTCCCCTAACCACGACGAGCGCATGTTGTTCTGACTGCTCTCTATCATATTTAGCGTGTGTTTCCCATAGGAGATGAGGTACCTCAGTCCTGTTACCCATATGTTGGCTACATCTGCTGTGTTTGCCACCAAGTCCAGGGACTCGTAGTTCTCCCCAAAGATGACTGAGAAAGCACAGTCCTCTGATATCTGATCATAGGTTCCATTAGTTCTAAAAGTGTCTGTATTTTTCCCTGTCCGAACCTCCTTGATGGATTTCACATCAATTTTGGCCTTTTCTGATTCCTTCTTTGAGGGCTCCCATCTCAAAGACTGCATGTCGGCATCGAGGAGAAAGTAGCGGTGGTAAATGCGTGAATTGGATCGCACTTTCTTCAGCTCAGAGCCATCCACCATAGCATTGATGCAGTCACTTGCACTGCTTATTTTCTTCTCGGTAGGCATGCTGCTGAATGATACAGTCTTCTTTCTTTCTTTGCGCTGTCTCGAGCCGTCCTGCAAAGACACAGTAGAACATTTTCTGTAAATAAAAATCTCAGAAACAGAATAGGTCTTGGGATTTATCAGATTAAACATTACTCGTTAAAATGTATTTACACAAAATAATATAGATGTATTATCTTTTCAGTTGTACAGAATCAGTTTTCTGAAAGGGTTTTGCCTGTTATTCGCGTCTCATCATTAATTAAACAAAATTAAAGTCTATTATGATGTTTGATGCCCGTTAACATTCTTAGTATGTCCAATATTTCAAGGGTGAAAAGAGGAACATGAATTCTTGCCATGTCACTTCAAATTTCTCCACAATGATTTGACTTCTGGCAAAAGGCCCATAGGTATGACAGTTGGCAACATAAAAAAAGCCAGACACTTGCCTATACTACAGAATAACACAGCCCAACCCAACATGTTGTCTGCTCTGATACAGTTTCCATGTTCAGTCCTTCCTTCCTGCCCCCCCCCCCTTTGTTCGGTCTGAGCGTTTGCTCTACAGCGAATTTGTTGGGTGACTTAAGGTTCCTGTCACTAAATATCATGGAGCTAAGGCACGGAATCTCCCTCAAGGAAGTAGTGCCCACAAAAATCCAGACATCTACAGAAGCAACATGTCTGACATTTTGAATGAACCCTGCACTTTCCACTGTAGCAGGTTCCTTCAGCACAGGGAACAAACTGTTTTACATTTTAGATTATTCAAAGTCATTTCTCAGATTTAGAGCAGCCAAACCCCAAACCGTTGTTAATCACTTGGTGGCAGCTTAATGGTACCACTTGATAGAAAAAGAATGCATCACTTTGTCAACAATATGATGTTGCCAAGTTCAGAATTCCTTACACTGCACTTCAGTAGAAAGCCTTGACTTTTATTTTCCTCAGGGATTTAATGAAATCCTTCACAGCCTCTCACGTAATCAGACTCAGATGTGCACAACATGCTGACAGAAACAAGACTCACAAAGATCACTGTGTCAAGGAAGGATGGGTAACGCCACAGAGTGATTGCCTGGTTGCATACGTGATTTCCATGTGTTTGACTATGTTTCACATGTAAGAGCTCTCACACACCCTCCCTGACATTTACAGCTTGTGCATTTACACAATAAACATGAACAGCCCTAAAGGACTTACAAAACCCCACCTTCTCTGGTGACAGCATTTATAACATTTTACAACACCAACTGAGATGGATGAGAGTGTAGCTGTCATTTTCTCATCTCTAACTCCATTTTGTCCCCAGTCTGTCCTCGTACTGTCTCCTCTACAGTTCTGTGCGCTGCCATGGCAGAGCAGTACTTGTCAGAGGGGTAAACAGAGACTGACTTCTGTGCTTCATGTAAATTCTTCATTGCAACTGGACAGGATGCAGCAAAATCAGTGGTTGCTGACTGTTGCTGCCAGTACAGCCTCAGTCAGATTGTTTGTTTGTCTAAACAATTAACTCGTCATAGCAGATGACATATAATAATAAAACTTGCTTGATTTGTGCAGAGCCTTAAATCCCCCCCCTGTGGAAAAACCTCTCAAATACAGTACGATAACATCTAATCACACAGATCCTGGGAAGTCAGTCTGTATGTGACTCAACACTTATTTCTTAAAATGAATAAATCATTATAAATTCCATCTTTGTGTTGGAGTATCACTAAACACAGACCGTGTCACGATCACTTGGACTGCAGGGATTGTACACTTCTCTGTGAACCATGGATGTATCATGTCAAGTTAAATGTAAACACATTAATCACATTCTTGAAGCTTAAAACCTAAATGCATGACTGCAGATAATCCTTATGATCCGGTCAAGAATGTTTTCATGTTAACCTTGTGTTACAGTCACATCTTACTGATGGTATGTGTCTGGTTCCTGCTGTATTACCTCAGCTTCCTTTACCCAAAGTAAAATACAATACAGCACACAAACACCTCTGTTTTGGCCTGTTATTGTTTTCTGAGGGCGCCATTTCTTATGCAACGGCCCTTTTTTCTAAGGGGAAGTAAGGTAGCCAAGGGTATTTCCTTTTGCAATAAGTACAGTTTTATTAGACCTTAAATGGTATTTATAAGACAAGATCACCATTATTGGATTGTCTATTTATAGTCACATCAGATCCCTACCTTATAGGGTGCATATTCTCCTATACACAAATATCTCCTCGGTTAATCTCTCGTCCTTTGAGTTCAATAATAAATACCAAGTCAGCCAGGATTAAGATTTTTATAGCCAGACTAAAGCACATCACCAAAACAAGTTATAAAACTAGAAAACCTGAGATGCTCAAGTAACGTCAGCACACACAGATTTGATTAAGACCTTGATTTGTCCGACAAAGATCAGGTTTGTTGTGTTTTAGCAAAAGTAGGACGGATTACCCCTGAGGATTTATGGACTTGTGCTGGTCATCCTGGGTCAACGGTTTACCTGCATAATCTGGCTGGAAGATGTTATGATAATAAAACAGTATGAGCTGGAAAGTGCGAAAGAAGAAAAGTTGCTGTGATCGTTACCCATAACTGAGTGCAGTTTTCTTTTAGTTTATATTCAGAGAGGAAATGCCTTGTGACATTTTTAAAGTGTAGAATATTTAAAAAACACTATCAGATTTGTCCATGGTGTTTCATAATGAAGAGATAAACATGAATGGAAATCCGAGTTGACTTATCCTGACAAAGGACGTTAGTTATACGCCTTTACTCTTCCAAAATCCATTCGGGGTGATTTAGAGTGTCTGTGTTGAGTTAGTGAAGGAGACGGAGGGAGAATCGAAGAGAGGAAGAAGCGATGAGGAAGCAAGACGGAGAGAGAATGACTAAGTGAGACAGAGTATGTCCAACTGCTCGCTGATCCCATAGGAATCCGAATCCTCTAATGGCCTGAATCCTGCATTTTCTCCTGCCTCGCCGAGCGGTTTTGAACTGTCAGTGCAACTGAGGGTATCACAGGGGACCCATTATGCTCTGCTCCTCTGTTCTACCTACAACCCCCGACAACACGCAGCCTGACTCACCTGAATCACATGGCTTCAGACAACAGCAGATCACAGCTCCGCACCAGGGCCGGGTTTATCAATACGGGTCACCGTTTCAAAGAGAAAATACAAATGGTGCAGAAAGTGAACGGCACAAAATGTGGCTCTTTTGTTGACTAATGGGTTTGAGAGCCCGACCAATATAGATTATACCTAAGGTGTCGTTGACAAAGACATTTAACTGAGGCTTGATAGTAGCTATAAACTTCATTACTAACAACTAGCATGTACCCATTTGTTCATACAGTGGGGTCCCTCTCATAATAGGAAATTCTGTGGAGTAATAATTAGCAAGGAGATCACTGCGCAGTCTATTCCAAGCTGCATCATTAAATAACAAGACTGCGTTCACACCGCCTGATACGTTTAACGGGCAGAGGAGGCTGAGAGGAAAACAAATGTAATGTGTGAAAGTCGGACGGGAGAGTAACGCAGTGACAAAGCTTCGGAGGAATGACAAAAACTAGAAGTGAGTGAATCACAAGGAAACCTTCAGTCAGGAAGAGGAAATACATGAATCAAAAGGCTGTTTTGTCGAGTACATTGAGTTCCTGCATAAACTCTTCATTAATGGTGATAAGTCACATCGCAAACTCCACTTCACTTTAACACCATCAATTCATACCAGCACAGAAATACGAAGATTAAGAGTCAAAGCTCAGAGGATGAAGGAAAAATACTTTTTAAATGAAGCTTAACCAATTTCATTTATTTTTTCCTCCGTTAGTCATTACCTAAATGTGAAATTATGATTATTTTATGAAAACAATAAGTCGTTAAAAGTGATTAACAACTCAGTTATTGTTCAATACATAATTGCAGCAGATTAACAGTATTCTGGTGAAGGGCTTGTTGTTTGATTATCAAAATAGCATATGGACTCTCTGTTCTCCAGCTGCACTGCAGTCAAATCCCACAGGAGGTTTAAATCTGGTGAAGGCCCAGATGCTGCTGTTCTTTACCATATAATATCAGTTGTCGGTCAAATGAAGTGTGAAGAAGGTGAATACCCGGGGAGTAAACTTTTAAAGCTGAACAAACATGAATGTGTGTGTAGCATGTCTATTTCTGGAACACTGCGGTTGTGACACCGAGTTGGTCCCCAGAGCTTCAACTGAAGCCGACAACTAAAGAAGGGAGCCCGATTTATTATAAGACTTTCAATTATTTTAATTTAACTGACGCTCTTTTCTTTTATTTTAGAACTTTTTGAACATTTACCCATTTTAAATGTGTTATCATCCTGTATGTGTTGCCAGTATTTGGGCCATTTTGTTTATATCTGACTAATGTAATGTCACATGTCCATAAATTCCCAAAAAAAAAGTCCCACTTCTCACTTCCCTGATGCTAGAAGCAAAACTGATGCCAGAAAAATGTTCCCGCAAATTTAAACTCCACAGAAATATACTTAACCAGAGGGAAAAAGTTCCTGTTTCTACATCATCAGCTTTTAATTTCCTGGCTCTAGGCTTTGTGAGCAATCCTCTCTTGTTCTCAAATATTGATTGAGCCATTACCCAGTTACAATATTCATTTGTTGATTCAGTCACATTATTTAGAGCCTTTACACAGTTTTGATGCTTTATTTAGTCGCATGCTTATTCTCTTTACCCACAGGAGCATCCTGGGCAGCTTCTCTGACGCTAATGCCAATGTTAGGTTTCTTGTTATCGCTGTGTATCGACGAGGGGAAAACACAACCACTGATCTCTCACCTCCAAGTTTTGGCTATAAAAGAAAAATAATGGTTCAACGTTATTATATCTTTTGTTCATTTGCCTTCAAACTGGATAATTCTCATGTCTGTTTCACAATCTTAAGAGTTTATGACATATTAACTGCCAGAATTCATCTGCGTAAATGTCCATTTCTTTGGATTAATCTATTATTTTCTACTTTGTGGAACACAACTAGGCACGCTCTTCACTCATTCGTTGATGAGCACCTTGATGTTATTCAATTTAC